ACTATTTACAGAAGATGTTGAAGCTTCTTTCAGGGGTTCCTTCAAATGTTGGATTTCTTTAAAAAATCTTTAATGAAAATTTTCAGCCAGAAAAAGCTAAACCATGGATCCACTATGAATTTTCACAGACATCTTTCTTTTGCCTCCTTTGCCTGTCGGTGTGGGTCCAGCTTAAAACATACCCAACCAAATGTGGACATTTTAGGTGCTTTCATTTGGGTTCCACTGTTGCAGTGCAAAGAGTACCTTAGCCATGTCTCTATCAAAAAGAAATAAGCCAGAGTTGTAAATAGTAAGTAGAGAGAAAAGAGAGAGTCTTTTCCATTTATTTATGTATTTCTTTGCATGATTTTTCTTTGGCTTTTTTAAAATTTAGTTTTATTTGTTTGGGCAAAAGTTTCCTGCCATTTACCTTTGCATTTGCATTTCCTATTGATTGGCAATTTTTAAACTGTTTATTGTGCTCTTTTGTTTAGCTGTTCAAGAGCTAAAACAAAAGGCACCAGGCCCTGTGAGGGACACATTTGCATGCGGCGAGCGTTGCCCGAGGAAAAAGTAATTGCTAATGCATATTTATGTGGCACAAATTTGCCATTTGTTTATGCATAAAATTATCAATAGTGCAGGGCGGCCCAGCCGTAGAAAATGGTGACCTTTTTAGCTTAATAAAGAGAAATCAGCTGTTATTGTGAAGAGATCAGCCATTTATTCTGTGTTGAGGGACACTGTCGGGAAAATGTAGATTGGTGCCGGCAATATCATTAAATGGAAGGCCAGTGACCCTTTCGGTATAGTCTATTATACGTTATCTAATAGAGGATAAATGACTCTGGTTGGCAAATAGATTAAAAAAAAACAACCAAAAAAACCCCCAAACAAACACAAAAAAAAACCTAGAGGGAAAAAAAGAAAAAATAATAATAAAAAAACACCCCAAAAACTCACAAAAAGCAAAAAAAGCAATAAAACCTACTATCCCCCCCAACTTTTCTCTTACAATCCAGCCATATGAACAGGTAGATACTGAAGAGGTAGTCTTGAACAAACCACCTGGTATTTTTCTAGCAGAAAAATTATTTGAAAAACAACAAAACAGAAACAAAATACCCAACCCTAAAACAATCCCCAAGCCCAATCTGTTTAGTTTTGACTGTTTTGGAGTAGGAAAAATATCCAGAGAGAGCCTGTGATTCTTCCTAGTCGTGTCAAAACCAGTGTTCTGAAGGACCATAATGTAAAGTGGATTTTTGGCTTGTGAAATGAGAACTCTGAGTTTGAAATTAGGAGGTGAGGTCTTTTCTGAAGACAACAGGTTTTCAAAAACGTTTATGCTTATTTCTTTTATGCATTCCATTTTTAAGAGTGAAGAAGAATTTGCTAGGTACTGAAGATCTCACCTTTAGAAGATGCATCAACACAGTTTTCTTTATAACACTTGACTGATGTAGCTCAACCTTCAGTAGACAGATTTAAGACTTGAAGAGTTAAAAACTAACAGCTGTAAGCCTCAAGGAGTTCTTGTGAAAATGGAAGTGTATGCAGAAAACCTCATGTTTCTCTGTTCCTCTCATTCTCTGTGATGCATAACTGAATGGATTTTTAACCACCAGGTGAAATGTGAGTCACAATTGCTGTAAAAAGTTGCATTTTCTGTGCAAAATGTGTGATGGGCTAGGGGTTTGATTTGAATTTTTTTTTTATCCCTGAGAAATATCCATCAGATAATTGCTAGAGTAATGTTGGGGCTTTGCTCACTTTGCTTCCTAAAAATATGTCCCAAGCTAATGTCATCATCACGGAAAAGTCACCACAATGTTTGTCACTATGTGTCATCTTCCTGGTGGCCTCAGTAAAGAGGCAGAGCTTGAACAGGAAAATGGAACTTGGAGATAGTGGAAGCTTTTTGAGGTAGGGCTATGTGGAGATGAGGTGGGGAGGTTGTGGTCAGAGGCAGGACTTTGGTCTTCTCAAGGCTGTTGCTGTGATTTCACCACTATTAAAATTTGGACAACATTTAAATAAAAATGCTTTAGTCAAATATAATACAATACATAAAACTTACTCTAGGAGATATTATATACTGTGTATTACTTTCTCTAATGCTGTAAAAGGGTGTAAGGGTGTATTCTAAATTCTAAAATTTTCTCTTATTAGGATTTTTTAGAAAGGGTTAGTTTAATTCCTTTATATAGAACTGTTGCCTGCTTCTGGAATGGTGCACTCGCAGTCCTCCCAAATAATGATTCCCAACCATTGCTGTAGAAACAAAAGTATTGTAGGACTAGTTATAGAAGTAGAGAGAAAGTCAAAGGAATAGTTTAAAAGCAGAATTTTTCTTAGGTCCATCCTATGGAAACTGCAGTAAATATGAAAGTGAATTTAATTGCAGAGTAGGATCTAGGTTACTTCACATGGAATCAGGCCTTTTTTATACAGGTTCTGTCTCTCCACTCAACACTGTAGCCAAGAACCAGAATTTCAGAAGTCTCTGTTATTTTTTGATGGTTGCTTCATTGCATTGTTGATAAACAGTTGAATTAGGTGGTTTTTTATCTTTAAAAACACATTTTTATTTTAAATTCAACTAATTAACTAAAGTTTGCTTAGTCCAAGTAAATCTGATTTTTTTCAAAGGGTCGTTTTCCATACAGATATTTCCAGCTCTGCTCCTGGAAAAAAAATCTTACTCCCATCAAAGCTTGTAGGCAGTTGTTAGCCTGAGTTTTGCTTTGTCTTTTCTAACAGTCATAAAACAACCCTTTTGAAGCTGCTTGACACCAGCTAGAAACTTGTATGTAGATAAAATTACCAAGAAGAAAATGCTGAAGTCTGTATGGGAATAAGCTGGGGATCACAGTGCTGTAAACTAACCCTAATAAAACTGAGATTCAAATTCAGGTGGTGGTGGTGGTGGTGTGGTATTGGTGGTTGTTAATGTTGCTGGCTTTTTGTTTTTTTGCACCTGTGCCTGCCAAGGTTGTGGAAGATAACTGCTAAGTACAAAAATTAGAAAGAAAAGCATCTTCAAAAACCTAGAAATATCTGTGGTCGTGGAAAATCATAAGTTTTGTAAAGAGTTTGTTAAGGGAGGAGATAGGTCAGAGACAGGACAAGGATGTGCAAGTATCACTGGTCAAAGGTGGTAGCTGCAAACAAGAGAATGAATAACATGAGTATTACTTTTTCCTCATATTCTGCTGATATGAAGAGGTCAAGGATAGCATTCGGTTTCACGTTGCTGGGAAAGCAAAACCATGATGGGGAATATTCTGTAAACAAATGTTACTAGTTCTGATTGTCCTGTGACCTGCCTTTTTTGTCCTGGTATTTCATCCTAATTAGGAGTGAGTTGAGTGGAGCTTGTCTTTTCTCAGCTCATGGTCCATGTCTGCTCTGTGTGGGTTAGGGAAGGAAGATAAAGGACTAGTTTCATATAATGTTATTTAGTTAATGAATTACTTTGATTGCCAAGTAATAAGAGCTAAGGAATTGGTATATTCTTTGTGGTGCTGGTAAATGGGTAGTCTAATAGGTCTCACAAAACTTGACCTATCTTTGTACAAGAAAATTTTGACAACTTATCTTCATTGAAGAATGCCTTTTCCCTCTCTTTCTTCAGCACAGATTTGAAAAGCCCATAGACATAGTTATCTTTCTAAAAGCAGAAATTCATGACTGAGGAAATTTCTATGCAAAATATATAGAGAACACATTTCTGTTTGTTCATCTGATTGCTTAAAATTAATACAGGAAATTGAGGTTTGTCTTCACAAAGTTTGCCTGCATGCAGAGCTCAATAGGGAACCAGGGATGGTTGTCTTTTGAATGTTCATGCACCAGCCTGCTCTTGGTGGTATCTTATATGCTGCTGCTTTTCCTGGAGATCTCTGAGCTGTAGGGCTGGGAAAGTAATTCTGTCAAGTTAAACCAGTAGGAAAAAGCTTCTGGCTTTATATATTAAGGATGTTGATTTCAGAATTTGGTTGTGTGTGTGTGTTTTGTAGTTGAAAAATAAAAGAAATTCCTATTCATATTTATACATATATTTCATACTACAAATTATTTGTTTTGGTTAGACTAGATTGATAATAATACACTGTAATAAAGCGTAGGGATTCCAGACCTGACTAGAAGGTCATGCACTCCACATCTGAGATGGACTTTGGCCTGTGTGAACACCACATGCCATCAATCATGCCACAAGTATGGGCCCAGATTGGCTTATGCTTATTCCTGTTATACTTGCCAAGATGCATTTCTCCCCTCTCTGCTAAAGGCTTGGGGTAACACAGCAGCAACCACAACTGCAGTAGGTGCCCAGAGAGATCTGAGTTGCCTCGTGCTCCTGAACTGTGCAGGTCCAGGTGGGGTTTGGGAAGTCACAATGATGTCACTGACGAATCCCTGAAGCTCTGAGCTGTGTTTTTCCTGCGGGAGATGCCACTCTGTCACCCGTGCAGGCAGATCAGGTGCTACTCAAGAACCTCAGGACAGTGTCTAAGTCCTGGAGTAAATGTGTGAGTAACCCACCTACTCACAGAGTGACAGCTGAAAGCAGAAGCAAATGCAGAGGACTTCTTGCTCCCAGCACTGTGCTTGCACTGCTAACTGTGCAAGCATGTTAGGCTGGGGATACAAAAACACTGAGTAGCTGAGCTGTTTAAACACTCTAGAGAAACAGAAATATGTAGTCATATCTTTCTCCTAGTTCAATCTTTGTATTGATTTATCATGATAAGAGGTGCTTCTTTAGTTCTAATGTCTACTTTTTTTTTTTTTTTTTGCTATTGCATATTTCTATGGCAGCTTTTCCACGTGATATATGTTGGGTCACACATTAATTTACACCAGCCTCTGTTCTGCAAAAAGGAGTTCGTGAACTAAATGAAAGGGAATGGGGAGGGGGATGTCTAGCAGAGCCCAGGCTTTTGTTTCATGTTTTGGATGTATTTTCTTTTTAAAATAAAATTGTTGATATGCATTTGCTTTTATTTTTCTAGCCTTCCTCTTGCTGATGACCGGGTTCCTGTTTGATCCTGTTTACAAGCTTTCGAAGATTGAAAATAGCCCCAACTCCTCTGCATTGGGTAGGAAAACAAAGCCATATAAAGACATACTGCAATTACTCTGGAGGGCTGGCAATAAGGAAGAGTGTGGTATGAAGGAAGAGCTTGTGGAGAAAAAGGAGAAGGTTACTAGGTTACCACAAAAGACATTAGTGTACTCAGTTTTTCTCACCCACTCTTGGACTGGAGAGGAGGGGGAAGAGTGGGCATGTCAGCAAGTAAATAAGCATTATCCAGTGTGTGTATTCTCAGTGTAATATTTTAAGTTTGTCTGTACTTTCTGTTACTCATTCAAATTGCTCTGCAGTTATATTTCAATCTATTCAAAACATTCAATAAGATAACCATGGAAGATTTTTGGGTTTGGATTGCTGTTTTGTTTGGTCTGGGTTTTGTTTACGTTTTGGGGTGCTTTTTTTTTGCTTTTGTGCATATATGTGCAATATTTTAATAGTGTTGTTGTGTGAATATCTGTATCCCAAGTACTAAATTTTTACAAATTTGATGTTTCTTGTCATTTGGGAGACTGGATGGGGAAGAATCTGGTTAAATGCTCTTGGCCCAGCAGGAGATTCAGGGGCAGATAATCCCACCAGTTATTTTGTCTTTTTATCCTGATGCCAAAATGATTTTTTTTTTTGCTTCTATATATTATTCATATATATTTGTAGCTTTGTTGACTGTTATATAGTTTCCTAACTTCAGTACTTTTCCTATTAGACAAACAAATTCATGATGGCCAGTTCTAATCTTGCTTCTTATTGGAGTCAAGGACAAGACACCTTGCCAAGACACAACTAGCAGAGAGGGGGGCTTCAGAAGGGTTCTGTACCAAGAGGGGGAATTACTTCATTACCTCTCTTTCTAACTGAAGATTCTTGTCAATTATGCTTATTTGCTAAACTTGCAAGTGTACTTGCCCTATGTCACAAGTGCATTTTTGACATATTTTCAGCATGTATTTTGGTGTGTTGTGCACCTGGAGGGACCCTTCATTAAAAATGGTGACTGCATTTTATTACCTCACCCTGTGTGGCTCTTGATTTTAGGGGCTGAAGAGGCAACAATCCTGTAGTAGTTTTTGTGCTTAATCTGATTTCCATGAAGAGTAAATGTTTGCAGAATTAAGGTTTCAAAGACAAGCACTCCCTTTTAGTAGCCTTGTTTTTATCCTTGTTATTGTGGTCTTCAGGAACTGGAGTTGAGGTTGACATTCTTGAATGTGACGAGTTTGTCATGGGTTGGGTGTCACCAGTCTTTGATCAGGTTGCTCTCGTGTGTTTTGTATCATGAGTGGCAATAGCTAAAACATCAGGGGTAGAAATGCAGCCATGGGGACAGGTAACACATCCAGTTTTCCTGGCTGGAATTGAGAAGGTATGGAAGGCTGTCAAGAGCCAGAGCTGTGCAACTGAGATTTTAGGCTGAGATAAGATAAAGACTGACTAAGATAAAACCAAGAGACAGCCTTGTTGATTTCTGTATGCTTTTGTCCACACGCAGAGGGCTATTCTACTGCTATTTTTCAGAAAAAAAATCTAATTAAATTTGAATGCAGGATTATGTGAATGATTGATAATATTATGGTGTAAATCGATGCTTTTCTGCTTCGTGGTGAGGCCTTAGACACGCATCTGAGATGACAGTCTAAGTCATGGTATTTTAACATGATTGATTCAGATATGGAGAAGTTGTACAATTCACTTATATCTTTCTAAATGCCAGAAGTCAGTTGTGACATTCTCATCTTTTCCTCTTCTAAATAAGCATATCAAAGAAGAAATCACTAATTTGCCAGGCAGTGCTTAATAATCAAGGAAGTGAAACTTCTATTTTATAGGAGAAAAAAACGAAATCTTTTGCTGAGTTGCTGAATTATTTTTGAATAACAAAAGCTGGCTATGTACTGAGTAACTAATTTTTTTAAAAAAAATTTTAAGGCCTTAATTCTGAGAAGGGTCACTAGCCTTTGAGAATTGAGCCACTTTGTTGACAAATCTGTCCTCTAAATTGTACAGCATTAATTAGAACTTTATGCTGCAGATTCTTACTTTTTTAATGTGGGCGCTGGTATCAACAAAAATGTCTAATGAATTTGAAGCTGATTTTAAAAGGTCTGCCACCTGTAGATAAAATGTGCATTACTACACATGGTAATTACCAAGATCAAAGGCTATGATATGATCCATAGACCTTTTGAAATCAAAACACTTACTATAAAGAAAAAAAGGCACTGATTTTTCCATCTGTGTTAATATAGGACATGTCCGTATATTCAGCTGTATATAACATAATTCAAAGTATCTTTTCTCCTGTAGCTGTGTTACAGTGTATCAATACACTGTACTATAGCTACAGGAGAAAAGATACTTTGAATTATGTTAGACCCAAATTTCCTATCATTTCCTCTGCAGACTTACAAAGCTCTTGCTATTTTTGTATGTGTTGAGGAACTTTTTTTTTTTTTAATGTAATGATATAGTTTGCTAAAAATATTCAGGTGTCTGAGACAGCAGCAAAACATCTCTGAGCCACCCTACAAAAATAAACCAGTTTTGTGCATGCAGGATGAAGCAGCAAGTATACAGGAACAGGCTTCAGCTCCAGGCTTTTTTTTCAGGAGCATTTGCAATAGGGGAGGGGAGAAACAACCCAGCAACTATCATTGTAAAAATTATGAAAAGCACTTTGATGGACCTTTTTAAAGCCACTTCACTAAACAGGGGCCAAAGCAAAAGTCTGAAAGACAACTTGTAGTTGGCTTTTAACAGCCTCAGCCCCTCGCTGCTATTTGCAGTTGAGAACAAGTGCCTGTGCACACAGTAATGCTGAGAAAGACTAAAGGGAAATAAAGGACACGAAGGAAGGATTTTCTGTTTTCATGTGAGTACTTGGAAGACCAAGCAAGTGGAGAAGCAGCAATTTTAGCTGAGCTAATGTAATAGAAGACCATTGCACCCAAACTGTCTCAGCAGAACTTCCTGCATAATTAGATTGTAAATCTTCTCAACTGAGGAAGTTTTGCCCAGGGTCAGATTGTCTAAGTAATAATCCATTCTACATAAATTAGAAGATTTGAACTGCTGGGATACATTATTACATTAGTTTTGGCTTTTTATTCTTAATATAACTAAGGAGAACAAATGCAACAATTCTTTTTATTTTCTTTTTTTAAAAATTATCTTATGTCTCTCTAGCTTTTGTTTATCTCAGAAGGCCTTTCCTGTAGGTTTAGAGATTTTTCCTGAGCAATGATGATGAAGTTGTTATATAGGCAAATTACTACATTTTTAATACACTTCAGAAAGTGATGCCACAGAATCCTTTGGCCAAGTGATGTCACTTCTTCAGTCAGTAATTTAGTCAGAAATGCTGCTGCTCTTTTAGTACTGTTGAAGTTTTATTTTCCACTATGACCCCCTTTATCGGAGAAGAACAGAAATTAATTTTTGGGGTAAAACTAATGGGTGGAAATTTACTAATAATTAGCTTAAAACAGGTAGGGGTTTAAGTTAATAATTCAATTATTTTCTTTGAGAAAAGGAATGCATACACAGCTATTTGTAGAAGTGATGTGGTAAATCCTGAAGTTGTTATTCAGGCAAAAATTGCTGAAAAAAAGAGTCAAGTTTGCAGTATAACACAGATGAATTGGTATGGTTTGGACTTGTCATTGTGTGTTTGGGGGGTGCTGTTTTTTTGGTGTGTTTTGGTACATTTGACTTTCATTATAAAATGGAGAAGTAGACAACTGCACAGGAGAGCCTTTTGAAAATAAAACAGCTTTGAGGCTGAATGTTCTTCTTACTGAAAATTCATATGATACATAATGGTAATTTATTTTTTTTAAAGACTTGAAGGAAACTAGCTGGGGTGAGAGGTACTAAACTCCTCATTTCCCATCTGCTTACTGTGCTCAAGGGTAGAAAAAATATGAAATGGATTTGATAATTCTGTGTTTTCAAATACGGGAGTATTTTGGGTACTGCTGTGAGTTCTGTGAGCTCAGCTGCCTGGTGAGTCTGGTCAGTCTGCTCTGCAGAGCACTGGCAGCTGAAAGCAAAGCATAAGTTTGGGTGGAAATGGCAAGTGCTCTCTAAAGTCCTGGGAACAGTGATGCTCCCAGACCAACAGATGTCTGTCTGCTCACCCTTCCCTCAAGTGCTGTGCAAGGAGCAGGATTCAATGTACTTTATTATTTATCTATCTATCTATCTATCTATCTATCTATCTATCTATCTATCTATCATGCTGGGAGACACCAAAGGATAATAATAAAAAAGAATAATACTTTAGAAGACATGAGGAAAAAAAAAAGATCTGTGAAAGCCCTTTGACACTGGCATTTTGAGGAAACACCATATTTTTGAGCAAGCCCTTGGAAACATTGCAAGAGCACTGGAAGCCAGAAGATGAACCTTTATTTTTTACTTTTGCTTAAAATTAAAACTTACTCTCATTGCTGCCATTATAATCCTTATAAAATTGCTTCTAGATATTAAAAATTTCCATTATTATTGGAATGTGCAAGTAGCAGTATTTCCTTGGTTTTTTGGTTTTTTTGTTAGTTTGTTGGTTTTGTTGTTGTTGTTGTCTTTTGTCCTCAGGAGCATCAGATATAAAGAAAATCAGAAATCAGACCTCAAGACTATTTTTGAGGCAGAAATAATCCAACCATTATTTCTGGTGTAAAAGGTTTGTGAATAGCATCATTTGCCTAGAAGCTGTTTTCCAACCTAATAACTCCTGGAATAATGACCTAAAACTGTTTCCAAGAGGATTAAGGCCCATATAACTATTAGGAAGTATAAGTTTCTGAAAAAGCTTCTTTCTGATTGGTGAAGAGGTGAGTTCTGATTTAGGTTAAAGCTGCTTGCTTAGGAGAATCAGTTTCAATCTCTCTGAAGTCAAAAGTGTTGAAGTAATCCTCCAGAGAAGGATTGTCTGAGGGTTTTTTCTTCTTTTTTTTTATATATGTAATATATATGTGTATATATAGTTATGACTTACTGCCATAATGA